ACTTCTCTGGCAGTTGAAAATCTCCTCTTTAATTTGGCTCTGGAGGCTCTGTGGCCCCACAGTCCAGCTGACCTGGGCTGGCTGTTCTTGGGGCTCAGTGTCCCTCTCCAGGGCAGGAAAGTTTGGAATTTGGACAGTCAGGTAGTTGGGGACAGAAGTGTCTGGATGGGGGAGGAACCCATCCCTTTGGAATCTCAAATTCCCAATCACCATAAGTTTTTTGGGATCTGTTGCTCCTTGTCTGGCTCCTCCAGGTGAGTCCTTGGAGAGGACACTTGGTGCTGATGGCACCTGGAGGTGCCAGGAGTGACTTCCCTGCTCCACTTGGGAAGTGAGGAAGGGCTGGAGTGAGCAGCTGGAGCCACATCGCCAGATTTGTTCTGTAGAAATAAGATAAATACAACAAAAGCTCTGTGGTTGCACAGAAGAGTTGACAAAGACGAGCTCCTTCCTTGTGCAGAGCTAAATTCAGGTGAAGTGAGTTCTGGAGATGAGCATGTCATTGTCATGTCATGTCATGTCATTGCTTTGTCACTGCTCGTTTGAAACCTGAGCTTTTCTTTCTGAGAGCGTGGCAGCAGGTACTGTGTACAAGTGTGAGGTGGCACAGATTGGGAAATCGAGTCTGGCTGGTGTTGCCTGGGTGTCCTTCAGGGTGCCTGGGCAAGGAAGGAGCAGCACATGGCAGTCGTGACAGGAGCTGTGTGTGCACAGCCTCAGAGCAGAGAATAAAGCAGGTATTTCCTTCTGGTGGCTTTTGGAGCTAGCATGCATGATTTAAGAAATGTGTTTTGCTTTCCCAGGAGAGATATCAAACAGTACTAAGTGTTTCAGTGGTATTTCCTTAGGAAGTCAAAATGTTATTCTGTATGTAGAGTCTTGTTGCTTAATTTCCAGACAAGGAGCTAAGTTAGGCAGAAAAGAAAGGAAAAACACCCAAGCTTTTGGCATATGAAGATCAGAGAAAAAGCTCTCTCATAGGAAAAAAAAAAGTGTTATCTTTTTATCCTTCTTTCCCTTCAATACCTGCCATGCAGTTTTCTCACAAATGCAAACATCCTTCACAATCTGTTTAAAAAACCACAAATACATCACTCGGAGGAATATTTAAGGAACCATCAGGAGGGAAAAAAACTCATTGGTTTAATGGAATGCTGTCAAGGAAAATCAGCATCACAAACGACACAGGGGCAGAATTGATACTTTTGCACTGACATGTTAAAAGAAAATCCCATGCATTATTTAGAAAACCCAGAAATCTGTCAGCTGTATGATTGCCGAGTTAGCAGAAGCAGGAGGATGCTGCTCAAGTTGAAAAGAAACGCGTAGGCACAGATCCATATTGTAACCTTTCATGTTCTCCACCCACCATGAATACCCAGCTATTACACGGTCAGCATTTTTTACTTCTTCTCTTTTAAAATTTTCAAGTGCTTGGAAAGTCAAAAGAGGTAGGTCTTTTCTTCTAAAAAAGCAGGATGCCAAGGCTGTTATTTTATTGTAAGAATGTAAAAATGACAGGACCAGAGAACAGGTTTTTTTTAATCCCTGAGTACCATGTAGATTTCATGAAGTCATTTTTCCTGTTGTTAAGGCTAGTATTTTTGTGTTACTTGAGCAGAGAGTTACAAATTTTCTGAAATAGTTATGAATTTTCTTAAATTGTCCCTTGGCCAGGAGGGCTATGTGCAGTCTTGAAGCAAGAGAGAATTTAACATGTTTTGGGTTTTGTGCTGTCTCATCCAAAAACTAGACTTGACACCAGCCCGAGCAGGCACATTAAAATATTTTATCCTAAAAATGGAGAGCTGTGTGCTGTTTTTGTAGGCAGTGCCTGTGCTGGGGCTGGTGAAGGTGAGGAGGCACAGAGGGGATGTGTGACCCCTGTTGTGGGGTCAGGACCTGCACAGAGGGGTTTCACCATCACACCCAAGGAGATTCAGGGAGTGGTGGCACTTGCTGGATTTCAGGATGTGCTTCCCTGCCTGGCTTGGAGTTGTGGTTTCCTGGTGGAACCCACGTGGAAGTGACAGTGAAGTTGATTTGGGCTTTGTCAGTGAAAGTGGAGTGGGGGAACTCAAACATTGTCCTAACATGGGGACTTTAAAAAGCTTTCCCCACATCCCTGACTGGGGAATGGCAGGAGCAGAGAATTCCCTGTGGATGATCTGAGTGATAATCCTGCAGGAAGAGGTGCATGTGCTGGTTTATTTTTAAGATCATCTCAGACATGAACCAGGAATTGAAATGTTGTTTGTTTGGGTCAGTTGTGCCTCGTTTGCTCTGGGCTGTTTTCTCTCCTGTTCCTTCCTAATGGGATTCTTCCAAGGGCCCTCCCAGTTATCCCAAGAGCCCAGTCTCCATGTCAGAAGCTTGGAAATAAGATGCAGATATCTATTTCATTGGCAAATTGTGGTTTTTTGGAGAGTGAGTGTCAGTGAATATTTTGTGCTCTGGCCAGGGTTTAGTATCAAGAATTTTAGGAGGCTTTAGTGAACCTCTGTTTCAGAGGAGTGCAAAAGTGAATTTTTTTATCTGCAAACTTAATTTAAGGTCCCATTTTAGATACATTCTTAAGCAGTTACCTATTGAATGCATGTGAATATGTGTATTTTTTTTAAAGCATTCATTTAAATTTGAACATAAATACTTTATGGTAAATGTAGACATGATTCACACATAATTGTTGACACATCAGCTAATATTTCCATGTTTGGATTGACTGACACCCAGCTCTGAGAAATGTGAAGTAGCTCTGGCTTTAGTTTTAAAAACAATAAAGAAAATATAACTCCAGAAGAGTTTTGAAAATGAAATCCTCTCTCCTCTGTAACTGAGGCATCTTCTTCTGTGAGAGGAATTCTCTTTCAGGTTTTTGATGCTTATCTTACACATGATGAAATTAACTGTGTTTATATAACATCCTGAGCTAATGTAAACTGGTTTAAAGATCAAGCAAATTTAGGTTTTATCTTATATTGCCTTGGTTTTAGAAAAGTTGTTATTAACTCTTGAAGCTCTGAGTTATGTGAATACTTTTGAGTGGGTAATTCCCAAGGGTATATTTTTAAATGGATTCAGGACAATTAGATATTAGATACTGCTAAGTGTTTACAAATGGAGAATATACATACTTGTAAGTTTATATTTCAGCAGTTAAACATCTCACACAATCTGTTTCCTTGGTATATTTTGGTTGTTATCTTACTTGAAGTCAAAGAATTGTTCCTTTTTTTCCTCAGAATAAAGTACATTTCTTTTTTTTTTTTTTTAAATAAAGACAGAATTCCTTACAATGATTTCAAACTTTTACTGGAACAAACTTAATATAGAAAATCAAGATTCATATCTGTTAAAAAGCCCTGCCTAATGCCAAATCAGATTCCCCTGGGTGCCCACGGCGTGATCATAAACAACCTCTCCAGATTCTTGCCATATCTGTGCTCAGAACTAAGTGCAGCAAGAGATAAACTAATGACAAAATGCAAATGGTATGGCTAAACGGAGGAGAATTGAGAGCTTTCACATGTCTGTCACCTTTCAGATCCTTTACAAATTTATAGTCTCAGAGTGCAGAGGTCTAAATCTTCAAAGCTTGAAAAACAGAGGTGCAGCATGAACTAATCTTCATTTTTTCCCCTATCTTCTTACAGCAGCACTAATGGAAATGTATTTTGTTTAATGACTCTGAAATCCTGTTTGTAATTAGATGTGGGAATTGGTCTTACTTTGTAACAGATGATACTGGAATAATAATATGAGAGATGCTACGCTGAGACCACTATCCTCCTAAATCTATATCATTTTTCATTTTATTGACAGGAAATGTGTTCCTGGAACAAAGAGATTGATTTTAAAGAGTGGAAAAATAATGTCTAGTAAAAACTCGAATGAAAACATTTTAGCATTACTTTAAGTATATCACAAGAGTATATTAACCCTTCAGATGTATTTTTAATTTTAGTAAACAATCTTCTTACAGTTGTTGCCTTGTCACTGATACAATCTTTGAATGAATGCACCAAAAGGTAGAGAAGTTTAATTAATGACGGGGTGCATACAATTAAAGTGCATATCATATTTCAGAAGGATTATTCGAAATAATTAATTTTGTCTGTTAAAACACTTTTCCAGTCGAAAATGAAGTAATTAGGAGTGGGCACAGAAGATGGGAGTGAGGGCTGAGCTCACACAGTCCCTTCAGAGTATTTCTCTCTTTACTAGGTCTTGATGTCATAAATCATTTTGGCCTCTCTAGAGCCAAGGCTACATTTTTTCCTTGGTTGTAATTCTCATTTTTTTGTTGGTTGTAGCTGAAATCTGTGTCCCCTACCAATGTGGAGAAAGCAGGTGGCTCTGAAGCGTCCCCATTAATTCAAGGTCTTGTGTTCATCTGCAGGGCACCATGGGGAGTGATGCTGAGCACAAACACACCAAATTTAGGACTTGCTCTACACAATTCTGTGAAGACCGAGGCAGGTTGGGTGCCCCACACTTTAAAATGAAAACCATTGCAGTTCAGATGTTTCAGGAGGCTCCTGTGGGACAGGTGTGGAGAGGGTTGTCCCTGCAGTGACAAGGTGAGGAGGCACCTCTGCCTTCTGCATACCTGGGCTCAGAAAGGCAGGGAGGGGAAAAGCGTGGTCCAGGTGTACCCCTGTGCAATGCAGCTTGGATTTTATGTTAAAACATCCTTGGAAAGAGCAGAAGCAGACCCGGGGGCAGGCAGCATCCTCTGGTGACCAGCAGAGCTCTGGCAGTGTGGGGTGCCAGGAGTGCTCAGGGGTTTGCAGGCTTTGCACAGTGCAAGGATAGAGAAAATCTATATATCAGATACATCTTATTTTTTTTTCCCCCAAGTCTTTGTATGTATTCTTGTGTGCTGGTTTGTATTATAATATATTATATTTTGATTCTTATTATTTTTCTTTTAGTTTCTGTTAATAATGTTTTTCTTTATACCCTTCAGAGTTTGAGCCTGCTTTGCCTTCCCTCCTAACCCTGTCTCCCAGCAGGAAATGAGTAAATAATTCTAGTGGGTGCACTGGTGATTTGGCCAGCACTAAACCCACCACATCTTGTTTCCCCAAAATCTCATCTGCTGATCAGTTTTGCACAAAGTAAAATGTTCAAACTCTGTTGGTTTAATTTCCCATTGCAGGGTGTAAGGATTTGAGGAATCCTGTAAAGAATTCCAGTAAAAAGCAAGTATTAGTGATAGTTGTCTTTGTTAACAGTAGTGAGTCCACTTCAGCCTCACATTAATGATATTTTAACAAAAGAAAGTACTTCAGTATTTTAATTACATTGCAAAGTCTGGAACATTCTTGTTAAGGCACATATAAGTTAGGATGAAAACTGGCATATTACCTTTGATGTGGGCCACATGCTGAGAGTCCCCCAAAGGATGTCATTGATAGTGATACAGCTGCCAACAGCAGGAGTCTCATGAATTACAATTTTAATCAGATTTAAAAAAAAAAATAAAAAAAAAGTCCCCTAACATACAGTTAATTTATGTTTGAGGCAAGAAATGTTTGTGGTGTGATTATTTGGAATATTTTCTCACTTAAAGGAGTAGCATTAATTCCCCCCAAAATTTTAGTGCCATGGGTTTGTAGTTAAGGATTCAGCACTAGATTTGTGCCCTGAGCTGACATTTCTGCAGCTGAGATTCAATAGCAGTTTTCCTTGCAACAGTTGGTGCTGTTGAAATGTCTGGCTGATCTGTGAATTTGATGAGACAGAAGTCACCGTGGTCTCCAGTAATTCTGCCTCTCCTTGCACCCACAGAGTACAAGGCATCCCTTAGCTGGGGAGCAGGGGCTGTGTGGGTAAGCAGGACACACACAGATCAGAACCCTGCTACTTTTTATAGAGTACCTTGGCTCTCTTGAGCACTTAGAATGGAATTTTATTTTCCTTTAATGAAGTTTTGATCCTTGAGAAAATCAGGATTCTGCATTTATTTCTGTGATTTTAAAGTAAGCATCTGACAGTTTTGCATAATAGGTTATGCTTTCTGCTCCATATTCTGTTTAAAAAAAGCTGGAATCCAAAGCTGTGAGTGACATTTTGGTAGAATTTTAGCAAGTACAGTCATTACCAAATTAAAAATAGATACAGGTGGGTAGTCTATGGTTTTAGCTCCTTTTAAAAAAACCCAGCCCTTGACTGTATACAAGAGCAGCAGTTTATCAGATCATTATAGTTACAATTAGGAAAGACCAGCAGTGTTGTCTCAGACCAAGAGTAAATTTACCTTTCTCCACCAGAGGCTTTAATTTCCATGGCTGTGACATCTTTTCCTCAAATGAAATTCTTATTCTTAATTTGTTAGAAGGTTAATTTGAATTAATAAGATCACTGAAGAGCATTAAAACCTGGTCCATTTAGTCATGGAGAAGAAAATGTTGTTGGCACCATATAATTAAAGCTACTAATTTGTCCATAATCTAAAGGAAAAACACATGGATTTTTAATACAAGTTTCAAGTGCTTTATTATTTTGGAAATTCAACCAATATTATGCTACCTGGTGAGTATTTTTTTGGCCAGAGGAAGGTTCCACAGTGCAGGACAGGGCTCCTGTGGTGGCTGGGCACTGCAGGCTGTACCTGCAGGCTGCTGGCTCACGCTGCTCACACCTGGCTCAGGTAGAAGGGTGAGTTCAGGAGGGCTCTGCCTCTGGGTCTGGTCTCTCTGCTGCAGTTTGTGATGTTCAGGATCATCAAAACCAGCACTTTCGGATTTGGTTCCTTACCATGCTCCAGCTCTGCCAGCCTCGGGTCTGAGTGACACTTGCCCAGCTTAATTTTAGAAATTTCACAGGCTTTCTGCTCATGGCCATTTTTCCTAAGGCTTGTTAAAAATCTTCCCTTGCTGCATCTTGTGCTGGACACTGTGGGTACAGAGAACAATTTCTTCCTCTTTATGACTGAACTTGTGAGCTCCTGCCTGTTGTCCCTTCCCTCCACTGAACAGACCCTGATCTCCTATAAATGTGTGCAGCTCACTCTCCTGCCATGTGCTGGCAGCAGGATTCTGCTCACCTGTGTTCACCTGCAGTCTCCTACAGACTCCAGATATTGTATTTTTTAAATTTATGCAGGCAGTCAAACCCCATTCTGAGTTGGGGATGGCTATTCCAGCCTTTCCTCTGTCCTCACCAGACTCTCACATTGTATCTCTCTTAAATCTTCACAAAAGTTTAGACAAATTCTAATAAAGATCCAGAATTTTGGGTGATTCTGCTGTGTTTGCTTAGGATATAGACTAACATCTGCCCTTGAATGGGGAGCATTTAGTTCAGTTGAGTTTGGCTTTTTTATGGTTCATTCTCTCTGTACACGTTGGCTGAAGGCACATTCTGAAGGTAAATTAAAATTGATAGTTGAAACTGAAAATCAGCATTTCCTGTCTCGATGCCGTGCATTTTTTAAGCTGTACACAGCCATCTGCAATTAATGCTCTTTGTTGTATATCTTCTGTATTTACAATATATTTGACAATAAAACCTTTTTTGACATTTAATCAGTAGCAGAGTTGTTCCACTCTCATTATATATTCATGAACTTTATCACCAAGACGAGACATAAATGTTGAGCTTCCTTTTAAGATCAGACAGGCATTGATATTTAAAACATTCAAAATTGATGGGGGGGGGGGGGGGGGTTGTGACTGTTCTACATTTGTACAATATAAAAATTAATTAATTTTTTAAGAAGATGCTCAGGTTTTAAGGATGGAGACAATGAAACTTTGGGACCAGTGAAACTGTGTAAGAGCTGTATATTCAATTACTGATGTCATGGGCCATCAGAGGCTGCTTTTTTCTCCTTTTCCTATAAAGCTTATAATATCAATTAGATTGTGATTCATTTTCTCATATTTCAGATGGAAGTTGGAAAGGCAGTAGGAAGAAGTGTCTTGCAAGTCCTGTTTGTTGATTGACTGTCTCTAAGAATTTGATGTGAGGGGGATTTTGGCATTTCATCCTTGAGAAATATTCCCCCTCATTTGCAGCACCTCTTCTGTTTCTCTGGATTTTGACAAAGTAGATATTTTTTGGAAGCTGAATCCAACTTTTTTCCCTTTCTCTGTAAACTCTTAGATCCAGGAAGAAAAGTAATTTAGAAAGTACTAGAATAGCATAAGTGAGTTCTTCAATTTCACTTTTTAAACACCAGGCATATCTGGGTATATCCTGTAGGTTAAATAGCATTTCTGTGTCAGTGAGAGATTGAACTTTAATACAGAAATACTGCTGAAACAAAAGGGAATTTGCATGAAACTTGCAGGTATCTTATATTTGGGAGGATAATCTCTAATGAGCCTCTCTGAATTTAAACTCAATGATTCTGTCTGTAGAAGAAATATTTGCATTGTTCTATTGCTCATAGCTGATACTGATTTTCTCTCCAGCTAACTAATAGCTCTTCTTTCTGCCTCGAATAATTACAGCCCAAACCTTGTCCCTGCAGTGTGCAAATGGAAAATCCAAGTCATCAGGATAGCAGTGTATCTTCAGTTTGGATTTAAAAGAAGTATTTTATTTATTAGATGCAGTTGTGGCACTGAAATAAATGGCTGGTGCAGTTATGCAACATCTCACCTTCAAAATTTAATCATCTACAAAAGTAATTTATTTTTCATAAGCTCCTTGCTTTTTAATATGATTCATTAATTTTTTTTTCCTGTTGTTTGTTCATCTCTTTTGAATGGAGACTCCAGGCGTTTATTTTTCCTGTTCCTTAACGCTTGGTATGGTTGATGTAAACTTTTAAAATAATGTTAAGCTTTTAAAAATAATGTTCATATTATTTAAATAATTTCATATTTAAATGTTTGAAGTTGCCCAGAGAGGTTGTGAATTCCCCATCCCTGGAAGTGTTCAGGGCCAGGTTGGATGTGGCTGGGAACAGCCTGGGACAGTGAAGGTGTCCCTGCCATGGCAGGGGTGGCACTGGATGGGCTTTAAGGTCCCTTCCAACCCAAACCAGTCTGGGATTCTATATTTCTATATTATTTAAAGCACAAGAAGTATGTGACAACAGTGTGGTCACAGCTCCCCCATTTTTTAGTTATCTTAATTGTATACATGCAATAACTTCTAATTCAATTAAGACCAGCAATATTCCACATTAGCCTGTGTGTCAAAATCCATGCAGTATCCTATAAAAAAGTCATTAGTTTGGTAATATCAATTTAACAAGTTTTAGCTCATTAACCTTGACACCAGCAGTGCTGGAGAGAGGAACCTTTTGATATTGTTGTTCTCAGCATATAGCAGGGAGCTCTGGAAATGTGCTGAAATCTGTGGCCATTATCCCTGATCATCAGTTACGGCTGTGTGCTGGCTCTTCTGGGCAAACACCACAAATTACAGCTCTTCAAGTCAACTTAATAAATGGTTGGTGCAGTTATACAGCATCTCACCTTCAAAATTTAATCATCTGCAAATTGCAGAAATACTTCTTCAGTTGGTTCTTTTTTCTATTCTGGCTTTGCGTTTGAGAAATTGCAGTTACCTTTGTAATAAAGTTCTTGGTTTAGCTTGTAAATATTATTTAATATTGGTGCAGGTACCATTACAAAATGGGAAAATGAGTGATCACTTAAAGCAGGGAACAAAGAAATCAAGAAGAAACTCCAACAGTCAAAAGTCTGTTATGTATTGTATATTTTCTCTTATACTAGAAGAATAAAAAAACCATCAGTGTTGAAAAAGACCTTCAAGGTCATCGAGCCCAAATCGGTGTTGCCTGATTTGATGCCTCAGATTGGGTGATTCTGATTTTCAGAATTGAGAAGAGGCAGAGCAGAACTGATATTTAGGTCCATTGTTAATCACAGAGGCATTTGAACAGCAGTGAGAAGGGATTCTATAAAAAATAAAGGGTATTTTCTTAGGAGCAGCTTAGGGATCCCCTGATCCCTTCCAGTCACCGTGAGTCTGTCACTTTTTATGGTTTGAGGCAGCATTTGGATGTAGAGAGGATGAGCACTTGTGAGGAAGGGCTGAGGAAACAGGGGAAGAAGAGGAGTTTCAGAGCATTGTCTTAATGTGGAAGTGGGAAAACAAAGCAAGATGA